ATGAATTACAAACAGGGATGGACAATGGTTGGTTGGTGCCGTACAGTAACAAGGAGTTTGGCCTGCCCAAGGACTGATACCACTGATGGCGTGCTGCAGACCAACAAGCATAAGTGCGTCCTGTGATGGACTATAGGGAACTAAATACCCCACGTTGAAACATTACAGGTGCCGCGGATGTTTGGCGCAGAAAAACTGCGAGACTGAAACAGCAGGGTGCGAACATGTCTATTCTGGACCTCAGGAAAGCATATCTACAGATCCGTGTTGAAAAATCCCTGTGGCCATATCAAACAGTTATGTTTAAAGGGAAGCAATATTGTTTGACCAGGCTGGGGTTCAGCCTGAATGTGGCGCTCCTGATAATGCGAGCTGTGCTTAAGGCGGTGTTAGCACAGGAAACATCTCGTGCTCTACGGACTGACGAGCAAGGATCCAGAGAAGTTACAGGACGGAGCCAGAGTGCTGGGGCTAGAAGTATGGAAGGAACAGGGTTGACTGCGATGGCGACGAGGAAGTAGAATGTTAAACGGCCATATGACTATGACACGGAGAGGTATTTTCTCCTGTGTGGCTGGCTGGTGGGACACTTCCCCCGTGTGTGGATGGCTGCGTGTGGCGATAAAACGTCATCAAATGTCGAGCTACCTGCCGTAACATAAAACTGGAACGACAAAATTTGTGATGCTCCCCTGAACGTATGATAAGCGGACACCCTCGCCTGGGCTCAGCAACTGGATCCCGCACAGGAGAATGGTGTGTGAATATGAAGGAGCCAGACGTGTGGGTGGGCGCAAGTTCGCTGGCTGTGGAGTAGCCGAGGCTGAGGAGCCATCATCGAGGGCGCATGCTGGCTACGGCCGATAAAAAAAAAACACCCAGCATATCAATGTGGCTGAACTGGATGCCATGCTGAAGGGAATCAACCTCGCTAAAATGGCAGGCTACGGTATTACATGTGAACACAGATTCCTCTTACGGTGTACCATTGGGTGACTAATGCCCTTACGGGAAAGTCTCGGCTAAACACCAAGGCACTGAAGCGAAGATGCTCATAAAGCGGCGACTTGAAACTCTAACTTCTCTTGTGAAAGAGTATAAACTTTCCGTTGACATAGCGCTAGTTAGATCCGACCAGAACTGAGCTGACTTGCTGACTAGAGTTCCCCAGAGGTGGTTCAACAATGTGAAGGAACTCGAACCTGTTCAACCAGTATGTGTTTTTGCTGTAGGAAACCCGAGACTTGCTCAGTTAACTGAGATTCATCGACACAGCAGGCACCCTGGAGTTAAACGGACACTATATTTCGCACGTAGGATCAACCCGTCCGTGTCGAAAGCAGCAGTAAGATCGGTCATTCGAACTTGTGAACAGTGTCAGTCAATAGATCCAGCTTCTGTGCGATGGCAGAAGGGAGAGCTCAGTGTGCGTGAAACTTGGAGTCGTCTGGGAATGGAGATCACACACTATAACGGTCGCCATTTTTTGACTCTGATCAATTGTGGCCCCATACGGTTTTCGATCTGGCAGCCACTAGTTCGGCAAGACGCTGCACACGTAATCCGGCAATTGGAGTCGGTGTTTTTCGAACGTGGTGCCCGGTGGAAATCCTGGCTGATAATGACACTGCATTCCAGAATTCAAACAATTCACGGAAGAATGGGGTCCCGATTCTTTGGCGCGTGTACAAACCATCTGGAAATGGTATTGTAGAGAGGTGTCATTGGACAATCAAATGGATTTGCTGCCGAAAGAGCTGCTCTATTATGGAGGCCATGTATTGGTATAACATTACACCCAGGGATGATGTGTCTGCCTCTTCTCGCCGCCAATCTGCTGTATTCGCACAAAATTTGAATACAAGGAATTGACATTGTGCCCTCGCCTAACCGGGCGACTTCGACTGTATAAAGAAGGAGACGCAGTTTGGGTAAAAAATCTGCACGGACGCTGCACGCCAAAGTTTGTGAAAGGTCGTCACGGAATAAACAGTCCGCAGTCGGTAGTCATCGACGGGATACTATGACACATGGGAGATGTACGTCCATGGCTTACTTCATTGTTACCAACGGATGATGGCGGTGACACAACGTCAGGGAGTCATGAATGGCAAGAACCAAGCTCCAGTGCAAGTAGCAGCGACACCTCATCTGAAAAAGAAAGAAAGAAGTAGACTTGATCCTTAATGATCCCCCAGAATATGATTCAGACCAGGACACATCTGACGATTCAGCCGGGGAGGAAGTCATGGTTATACCACCGTGAAGGAGTGCAAGGGTGAAACGACCAGCCCCTCACTGTCACTTACGTGATCATACGATCAGGGGGGAGTGTAATAGAAGTGACAGTGACTTACCAGGAGCAAAGCAAATTCGCTGACTCGCGTGTTGAACCATTCTCTGAGAGTCGGTCGCGCGTGCATACGCCTACTGCCATTTTTATGCAGCAGACTTATTAGCATAAGAGAACCACGCTACCGATTAAAAACCTGGCGAGTGGATGTGGGAGGCCACTGCTCTTCTAGGCTTCGGCGAGACTAGACGTATTGCTGACAGAAAGCGACAGCAATTTCTGGACATCTGACACATTTAATCATCATAGAGAACCATTTTTGCTCTTCATCTTTATGTCTGATTCTAACCTCCAGGAGATCCGCTTATATTGCACCTTCTTGGTTTTACATTTTCTGACAAAAAGTGGAGAGATTATATTAAATCAATTGGTAGATCTGCTGCTAAGAAGGTTAGTTCATGGTGTTGTGCTAGAAAATTTTTCCATCAGAATCCATCTTTCATATTTATAAATCTACCATTCATCTGTGAATTGAATATTGCTGCCATATCTGGTCTGGTGCTCTGTCTATATATCTGGAGATTCTTGACAAAATCCAAAGAAGGGTCTGTAATGTTATTGGTCATGACCTGGCATCTCAATTTAAGTCACTTTCCCATTGCTGTGACACCTGGGTTCCCTCTGTCTTTTCTATAAATATTTTCATGGTAACTGTTCTAATGAGTTATCTTCTTTTGTACCTTGACTGCATAAATTTAAGGCATGCTACTAAGTCTTATTGCTTTACTGTTGAAATAGATGTAACCATAAATTATATTCTAATAGTTTCTTTTATTGTACTTCTCTCCTGTGGAACTCTTCAGATTTCTTGCTTCCCTGCCACTTACAATGTTAAACAGTTTAAATTCAATGTCAATCACTATCTTGTTTTCCTGAACCCTATTTTTTTTATTGTTCTTTCTCATTACTAAGGTCTTCTCATTCCGTTTCACTCCCAGTAACCTCTTATAGTGGTGTAGCGGGTTGTCACCATTATGTAAGGGTGTGTACTACATACATTTAACTTTGGCTGGGAAAAGCGGGATTAAGGACAATGCATGGATGCAATGCAATTTATATTTGATGTAAATAGCACATAGTATAAAATACAAAACAGAATGTAATGATTTCAAAACATAACAATTGAATTTATTAGTGTTTGGTGTACAAGCATAGAAGCTGAAGTTGTGATAGAGTTATGTCTCTTAGATTTGGAAATATTTGTACTTGAGCTCATAAAGAAGAAGTAATTATTAAACTGTAGTTTAGAATAATAAAGTTCCTTTAGCATGTTAGGAAATGTGAGTTGTAAACCTTGGTAAGAGTTCAGAAGAGATTTCAGAGTTTGTACTTGCGTGAATATTGGTAATAGTCTTTAATATCTGACTGCATGGTCAAGACAAGAGTTCTTGAAGATTACATCTTGGCAACAAGGAAAAAGATGAATGAAAAGAAACACGAGGGAGCTTACATGCGTTTTGTTTATATATGATCGTGTATCACATGACCGGCTCAAATTGAAAATGCGGGAAAACAGATTTGTCGTGTGCAGGCGACTTGATTGGTTGGAACTGACCAATCAGTGAGCTAGTTTTGAGATCAACCAATGAATGCTTGTCACATGATTTCTATATACTGTGTGTATGTAATGTGTTGGTGTGATTCTAAAGTGGCATTATTGTTTAATAAATATAATTTCTGAAATAGCTATTGGTTAACTTAAATTGTAAGGTAAACTAAGCTTTCTGCACTTTGGATGGCCACCAGTCTAAAAAAAAGAAAAAATAGAAATGGGAAACTATTCCACTATCTTTTCGAAAAAAGCATGGAAATTCACAGATAAAAAAAAGCGACTAGAGAGTCATAATCACTTACATCCTGAAGGGATACAGTGTTTTTAAAAAAATTAAAATTAAACATTTTTACCTCAATGATAAAAAACAATTTATGTTTTAACAGTGAACAAGGTAGATATAAATTTTGTGCAGCCAATATTTTAATCATAAACAACTTTACCATTAGAGTCATTTTGCTTAAATTTTACTGTTACATTTATAGTTAAACTTGGTTATTGCTCAGTTTTTGTGATATCATTTTTAAGCAATTTTCACTACTGCTATGAAGACTCAATGAGTGCATGATAAATTGAAATTCCGACTGTCTTTTTTTTTTGTACACATTTCTACCTACATAACTAAGAAGCAGTAGTAATAATACTTTTTTTTACTTTCTAGTTTATTTAATTGGATAATCCTCACTCACTAGTCGCAGCTATCAATCAGAAAAGTGAGAGAGAAAGAAAACCAAATATACATTTGTTTTTACTAAGAGTCATGGAAAACCGGACTATAAAATGTTCATTTTTTAACCTTGCTATTCTTTTTTATTATTATTCTTTATTTAAAAAATAAAAACTTAAGAAGAAAGATATGTTACGTTGCAACAACTTGTCCGATATATGACCTCTAGAAGGGGGAAAAAAAGAAGCTACTAGCTAACCTTTGACCTGCGTGCTGATTGGTTGTATGGTTACACGCCCCCGTTTCTCACATTAAACACATCATTTGCGGGAAGCGGCTTCTATGTTGCAAGTAATAAGCCGTTAAAATAACGGTTTTTCTCGTGAAAGTATCTGTCTTTTCTACATAGTCCAAAATAAACCCTCAAGATGCCGCATATTGACAACGATATTAAGCTGGATTTTAAGGACGTCTTGTTGCGTCCAAAACGCAGTACCATCAAAAGCCGTGCTGACGTGAGTTGAAATAATTTTGCACTGAAAGTACGGTAGACCATGCAGGGCAATTAATTGCTATTACTTTAAACGTATATGTGAAATAATACATGGGATTTTTTTAATGGTAAAAAGAAAGCAGTGAACTGAATTTCAAATGCTTGATATTTTTTTAACCCAGGAATACTGGGCTCATCGTAAAGAAGTGATCTGAAAGCGAAAACTAATTAAATCTTAAATTTTCTTTTTGTTGATCTGTGAGTCCCAATATTTGTAACTTTTTTTCTTTTCTGTTAAGTACGATACATTTTTTTTTGTCTGACTACTATTAATTTAGTTTTTCAGAGTCTAGTGAAGACTTAAAGTGTGTCGGTAACTTCTTCTTACCTTAAGTTTTATGTAGTTTTTTTATTTTTTTTATTTAAATATGCGATTCATTGTGTTAATTACAAACAGTGCCTAATCTTGGTACAAGGATGAACATAAAATTTAGAGATTAAAAACTAAGTTTTTTTTGTTTTTATACAAACACTATTGTTTTGTGGAATAAGTACAAACACACTTTTCAATCTATCAAAAACATAGAACAGTCAAAGTGTGAGGGACATTTTGACCGGTGCTAAGAAAAAAAAAAAAAAAAAAAAAACCTGTCTGGTTCTTAAGTCATTCACTTGTTCCTATGTCTATCCTAATCATTCACTTAGTTTATGCCTATCTCGCATGTGAATTGCCATTGACTGTTAGTGTTTTTTCAATGTCATTCTATTGCAGCACCTGTATTAGTACAGTGTTTATTTTTCTATGCAGCCTTTTCTTTTACACGCCACGGATAATTTTTTTTTTTTTTTTTATACATTTTACGTTATAAAGTTCAATAAAATTTTCTTTATCAGCTTATTTTTTTCCTTTTCAAGTCTTCGTTCGATGTTCAAGTAAAACCACCCACGCGTACTAGTAATTTTCTTTCCTTTTCGTTGCAGTTAATTCTTCCCCTCCCCAATAATTATTCAAATTTTGACACTATCAGGTGGACAGTATAATTAAATTTAAAAAGTTCATTGTTTACAATACATTAAACTTAAAAACATTATAAACGGAAAAATGAAACGTACATAGAACTAAATAAAAAATGTAACTTTTTTTTTAAAGTTTCTCCGAAAATTGTCACGAACTCAAATGTTATTGTTATGACTTGTTTCCGTTATTTTAAATTCTTTTGTTTTTACTTTCGCTATATTTTTTAACCTAGACAAAAAAAAAAAAAAAAAATATCCACTCTTACAACGTTTCGGTTATGCAAGAAATTGTTTCTTACCTGATCGGAAAAAAGTAATGAGAAAAGAAGTATATAAAAATTAAAAAGAAATATTCAGTAATCGCATAAGGCGTTTTTAAACTTAAATTGACAATAAATTTTTTTTGTTAAATAATTCTATTTTCTTAGAACAGCAAATGATTAGTTTAAAAAAAAAAAAATCCAAGAAATTTACCACAGAAGAATAAAAAAAATATTAAGACATCTTACAAATTTAAATATTTTAATTTATAAATTTTTAGTTTACCTTTTGTTTTGAAGTTAATTTGTTTGATTACTTGTCAAATAATAACTAAGTATTAATTAGTGTGTATTTCTTGATAGTTGAAATATTTCTAAATTTCCTTCGCAAAACTGTGATAGGGGTCCATACCTGTTACTTATACGGACGGCATCCACTCGACTCGAGGGTAGACTGTATTTTTTTTTTTTTTTTTGTAGGAGGTGGAGCCGTAAGAAAGAATTGGTACACTAAAAAAAATCACATCACATTACTTTTAATTTTACAGGGGTGTGAGTAGCTAAATGATTTTTCTGGAGATCCAACCAGCAAACCACTACCTCTTCTTGGCAATGCACTTCTGTGTGAATCGACGTTTGTATTTCATATCTTTTACACCGAGGGAACAATACAAGATCTGTTTTACTTTTAAAAATGTGATGCCCCCTCCCCACATCACACGTGTGTGGTGACAAAAAATAGAATAGCTCAATTCTACAGTATCTTCTTAAATAATAGGAAGGTGTTGTATGGAAAACTGATGCCCCCATCTTGACACTCTCTATTCTCCTGCTGTTCCGTTTATGGTACTTTTGAATCCTCCCTACAAAGAATATTTAATTTTCTAATTTTTCTTCAACCATCCCTGTTTATCCTCGTCCAAACTATGCCAAGTTCCACAATTAGACATTTTCTTTTCTTTTGAAAAGACAATGATACCAAAATAATTAATTTTCAATTCATATTTCATTTTTCCAATTGTCTGTTTTTTCTTTTTCATATCAAAGTTACAAATCAGCAATAATAACGTTCACGTGCATATAAATTTATTTTTAGACATCTTTTAATTTGACAGAATTTGAGCTATTGCAGCTTATTGGCCACCTAAATTGAAGATGTTAGGTAGGAAGCATTGTTTTTTTTAGCTATCTTTTCAAGTAAAAAAATAAAATAAAATGTATAATCAATATTTTAATTTTCACTGAGGTACCTTCATACTTCCTAAAAACTAAACAAGAAAAACTCCTTTTAGAAAATGCATTTTTCGGGGTTTTATTTTAGGAACTCTAGGATAAGGTTTAAGGTTTTTTTATTTGAAAGATAAATAGCCTAGTAATGTATAATTAAAAGAAAACCTAGCCTTATGTAAATAGTTTCAAACATTTAAAACAATGGGACGAAAAAGAACAAATTTAAAAATAAAATGTATTTCCAACCAAAGTCAGTTAGTAAATAACTGGATTTTGTACACGTAATGCCACTAATGAATGGATAACTTTTTACTTAAAAAGCATGAAACTATAAAGGGTTTCTTGTATTTACGCACGGTCACTGGAGTCTATAGGAGACTCTATCTGTAAATTTTACTGTGTAAAACTAAAACATAGTCTTAAGAATATGACGTTCTCGTCTTTTAGTTGTTTTTTTTAAGTACTCGGTAATAAAGTTTAAAAATTAATTCTAGGATCGTTGATTTTTAAAGTCTTGTCATCGCTTGTTACTTTCTGATAAGATTTTTATAAATATTTTTCTTGAGTTAAAAATGTTACTTTTTTTGAGCTTAGATTGCTTTTTTTTCCATTTTTTTTTCTCATCTGTTTGATGATGTTAGTTTCTTTAATTGACCCAATTTGGTCTTTTTTTTTTTTTTTTTTTTTTAATTATTAAGTTATTGAATCATGAATATAGTATTCATTACTTCAAGACTGCTGTTAACTGGGGCAAAAGATTGCTTGTCAATTTTTTAGTGTTCAAATCAAAACTAAACTTCTCTCCATTGGTTATCAGGGAGACCCTTCTGTGTTCCATCAGCAGGGCTGATGCTAACCTCCAGGAAAGTGACTCGTTGCACTTTCTCAGGCAAACGTTCTCAGCTGACATGAAGTGAAAAGACTATATTGAATCCATTGCTTGGTCATCTATTAACAGTCAGTTCACCATGTTGTGTGAGAAATTTTTTTTCTCTGGAATATTTTTTTTCTCTGGAATCTCTTGCACATCTAAGACTACTAGTCTTTCATGCTTAGAATATTGCTGCCATATATGGTCCAGTGCTTCTGCTATTTACCTTGAGCTCCTTGATAAGATGGAAAGAAGAATCAGCAATATCATTGGTTCTGATCTGGCAGCTCAGCTTAAGTCACTTGCCCATTGCCAGAAGGTTGACTCCTTGTGCTTTTTCTATAAATACTTTCATGGTATTTCAGATGAGCACTTTGCTATGCTACCTAGACTATGAATTTAAGTGAATTACTAGATTGGCGGTGAGATCTCAACAATTTACAGTTATGTTAAGATTCTTTACTCGCACTTCTTGCTTGTGGAACTACCTTCCAGCTTCATGCTTTCAAGCCAACTTTAGTCTTCAAAAATTTAAATGCAATATCAATCACTATCTACTGTCCTCTTGATTACTTTCCTCTTCCTGCTCATTATTAATGTTTGTTCATAATTCCTCCATACTCTGTAACCCCTTGCATCTTAGTGACTGTCCTGTCTTGCTTGAGGTGATACTGATTAAAAAAAAATCAAAACAAAAAAACCCAAGACCTTTATATTTTTTACTTCTGCAAGCATTTCTTTATTTAATAACAAGAAAAAACTTGTTATAAATGGCCAATTTGAAAACAACTTTTAAAGATTTTTTTGTCCAATCTTAAAGAAAATGTGTTTTATGCAAACATCAACTATCAAAAATATTTATAATTTGGATTTTTATTGAATTATTTTTTCGTAAAGTTTAGTACAAATTTTTCTGTATGTTCACATTTGTTATTGCATAAAGTTTTATCTCTATCCACAGAAGTGGCTGAAGCAGACTCTACTTCCAGTATTTTCAGTTTTCTAATAAAATAACCCATTCACTATATAGTCTATTCATTAATGAATAAGTACTGAAAATTTTGTTTGTAAAAAAAAAAAAAAAAAAAAATTTAAGTGGAAACAATTTTTTTTCATTTTTGAGCAAATGCATCCATTGGTACTTTGTTTTTGAATAATTGCCTTTTTCTTCTCCTCTCAATGAAATCATAGATTTGTTCACCATAGATTTAACAAGTAGGTGTTCCCATTGGTAGTTTTCATATTCTCGTAATTTACAAAGATTTGACAAGTTTTTTAATGGCAGTAGATTTAGGGAAAAGTACCAGTTGATTATGTAGCTTGATATCTTGGTATGAACTGGATAAATGGAAACTGTAGTAGTTAGGAAATATTTTGAGGAAAAGAACTTTTCCAAAATCTTTCTTTCAAGGAATAAATTATTTTTTAAAATTCTAACATTAGCAATTATAACAAATGCCTGAAACATAACTAATCAAAATGAGGACACAGTGTAAATGGAAATTTTGTTTATTCATTTTAGTGTTTTTACTATAACATAAGCCTTAACAACTTACTCTTTATATCCATATATATCCATATACAGTAGCGTCCAAAACTAAAGGACAAAATTTTAAAACCTAATATTTGTTAGAAATAACAACT